TGTCTGGTACATGCTAAGATGCATTAGCAGTGTTTCAATCCTGGCCCTTTTAAGGTTCCATGCAAGTTTTTAAATTAATTAACAGAAAGGCAATGATTATCAAATTGTTGGTGTTGCTAACTGTGGATGAAAAAAGTTTTCAGGTTAATATATGGATAAAGAGACAGATGATGAGAAAAATGAGGGAAATAATGAGTGATTATCGATCATGATAATTTACCAGTATAACTGATTTTATCATATAAGGGGCAAAATTACTGAATTGTGATTGGCCAAGACAGAGGGCATTTTTCTCTTAATTTTTGTAATTGCCCCTGGCAAAATTACTTGAAAATGATTGGCTGAAAATCGCTTAGCAACAGCTGCCAAAGTAAAGAAATTTCTGTTTGTTTTCTAACAATGGCGTCCCGTTTTGCGCGAGATCAGTAAGAAAACATTTTGCCCCTTATATTATAAACAAGTAATCACATGGTTCCTCGTAAAATTAAGGATTAATATCACTTGTGTTTTCGGAAGTTGCAGAAATTGCCCTCGTCGCTGCGCGACTCGAGCAACTTTCGAAAACACAAGTGATATTAAGCCTTAATTTTACTCGGCCCCATGCGATTACCTAGACTAACAACAGAAATTGACCATATTAGAAAAATAACACTGTTCCAAAGCAAAGTCCTCACTTCTACCAAATCTGAATAAGAAATTATATCCAGTGATCTTTAGGACCCTAAGCAAAAAAGGGGACATCTAGTTTGATGTACGTATCTCATCTAACAATAAGATTTTATCAATTTACCAGAAAGATATTACAGCATCGATAGGTTTTTTACTGTTCTGATGATAATCTTTATCCATTGTGTACATTGATGTACAAATATATTTGATTTATTTATTATTGAAAAGGGACACGGTAGCCCATTCATTAAAATTTTGCTCAAACTTGTTGTAATTGCCATTTATGGAGACTTCTTAGGCTTCACATTGTACATGGAAAATTCCTGTCATCCATTTAACAGTCCATTTGTAATGTAAAATAAATGCACAGCTCAATGAAGAAGGTCTTGCTTTCATCTTTAAACCGCTAAAAGTGTTAATTAATTTTGAACTGAAGCACTTTTATTTAATGTCATCTGATCTTCTTTGTTCTGATGCTTAAAACCAATGTCTTTGTAGTCAAAATCCACAAATCCAAGAAACTCGCACCTTTACTAGAGATTCTCTAAAGGCAAAGGTACATAAACAAGTTAAATATACAGAACAGGAAAGCGAAGCGAAATAGAAATAAAATAGGCAAAATGACGGACAAAATAACGAAACTTAGAAGATTATGTGGCGACTACGACGACTTAAACATAATGACAACGGTGACAAGAAGACTACGGCAGAAGAAGCTATACCAAACAATAGAAACAATGCATAAAAAATGAACACGAAAATATAAAATGTGACGTAACCAAAAATGACTGGCGAACCTAATAAAATAAGAAATATACGCGGAACAACAGTAAATGGAAAATATTTGTACAAAAGGCGTGAATTTGTAAAGGAATGTGAATCACCGTGACTACAGTCTTATGGTTGATGAAAATGATGATGATAAGGATAAGGTTAATGATGATGATGATGATGATGATGATATTGATAATACAGCTTTAATCTTCAAGGAGACGCCTTTCACCATGTCTACTGATGAACTCTCTCTCCTATAAACTACATTACATAAATTATTCAATAATGATGCTCAGATAAAACTCCTTGAGTTTGTCACTACAATTTTTTTGTTTTTTTTTGGTGATCCGAAAAAAAAGGGGGTTTAAAAGAGGTAGTCATCTGTAAGGACTCCGGTAAAAAGTAGGCACAAGTTTGTAATTATGTTAAAAAATGCAACAATTCAAGAAGTCTTAGGTGTACATCCCAGGTGCACAGATAGTTTGAGAGCTTTATTGTATTGGATTGTAAATGTGGTTCTTGTTTGGATTTAGATGATGAAAACCAAACAGTGGAGGAAGAGCAAAGGAGACAAGAGGAAGAGGAAAGAAATTCGAAGAAAGAGGTGGAAAGAAGGAAGGTAGAAGAAGTTAAGATGAAGCAGGGGGAAAAAGAGAAAAACTGGAAAAAAGAAGAAGAAAGGCAGAGGAAGGAAGAGGAAGAGAGTAAAATAAAGGAGAACGAAAAGAGAAAGAGAAAAGAGGAAGAAGAAAAGCGAAGGAAGGAAGAGGAAGAGAGTGCGAAGAAGGAGAAAGAAGAAAGGAAGAGGAAGGAAGAGGAAGAGAGTAAAATAAAGAAGGAAGAAGAGAGAAAGAGGAGAAAAGAAGAAAAAAAGAGAAGGAAGGAAGAGGAGGAGAGTGCGAAGAAGGAGGAAGAAGAAAGGAAGAGGAAGGAAGAGGAAGAGAGTAAAATAAAGAAGGAAGAAGAGAGAAAGAGGAAAGAAGAAGAAGAAAAGAGA